CAGCTCACGGGGCGGGGCGTTTGCTCAGAGAAGGCCAGGAGGTGGTTGGGGATGTGCGGGGATGCGCGCTCAGCTCCGGCTCTTTCTCTGCTCTTTCTCGGTGAGGCTGTCAGCTGCTGTCCCAGGCTCCAGCAGGGTGGCGCGGAGACGATGCCAGGGACTTTAGGGTGCAGAGGACTCCCCGCAGGCACGACAAAGAGGTACTTAGGGCACCACGGGCAACCAGCTCTTCCCCGCCAACCTCTCCCCAGCTTCTGCGGCTTCGCACCTCCATCCCGCGCCTGGCGGAGCCTGACGGCCCCCGGAGCATCCAAGGCGCGCGAGCCTACCCGTGGGGCCGCAGCCCACGCTGGACATATTAGGCCGCTGGCCAGCGAGAGATTGGGGACCAGAGCTGGACAGCATGGAGGCTGGTCCACAGGGACTGGTGGAGAGCCCTGCCAGGACCCTCGTCACGCCATGGCTCCCTGCAAAGACGACCTCGGCCAGAAACTGGACAGCCGACCGCAGAGTTTCCACTAGCATCTCGAACCCTAACACCGGGAATCAGGCTCTTGGAAGAGCTAGTGATTGGAGGCTCAGGAGTTAGGATGTTTCCTTGGTAACCAACAAAATCATAAGTGAAACCAGCGAAGGCTGAAAGCCTAGAGGAGGCATATATGCACAACTGTCTAACCCTTTAGGCTCATTATTTAGAATTGTAATGTCTTTTTGGGGGGTCAGAGTCTCACTGTCGCCCAGGCTAGAGTGCAGTGCACCATCATAGATCATTGCAACCTGGAACTCCTGGGCTCAAGCGATTCTCCCACCTCAGCCTCCTGAATAGCTGGGACTACAGGCGCAAGCCACCACGTCCAGCTATTTTTTTTTTTTTTTTTGGTAGAGACAGGGTCTCGCTATGCCCGGGTTGGTCTCCAACCCTCAGGCTCAGGAGATTCTCCCTCCTTAGCCTCTAAAAGTGCTAGGATTTCATTCGTGCGCCACCATACTCGGTCGTCTATCTTAATGTCTAGGTTTGAAGAAGAGAGGAACCATGGAATTATAACCAAATGATAAGGGGAGAAACGCTTTCTTTTTTCTTTTCTTTTTTGAGTCGGAGTCTTACTCTGTCACTCAGGAAGGTGTACAATGGCAAGATCACATCTACTGTGGTCTGACGGGCTGACCTGCTGGGTTCAGGCGATCCTCCCATGTCCGCCTTCGAAGTAGCTGGGACTACAGGCACATGCCACCACACCCAGCTGATTTTTTAATTTTTTAATAGAAACTGGGGTCTCACTATGTTGCCGGGACTGGTCCCAAGCTCTTGGGCTCAAGCAATCCTCCCTTCTCAGTGTCTCAAAGTTCTGGGGTCTCAGGCGTGAGCCAGTGCACCCGGCCAAGTCTAGCCTAATGTCTAGGTATGAAGAAGGGAGGGACTGTGGAATTGTAACCAAATGATAAGGGGGAAATGCTTTCAAAAAAAAGAAAAACATTGCTCATAAATGACTTTACAGTCTTATTAAACCCTTAGAACCAAAACATATCAGAGTTTGGATCAAACTAATTTTATAAATTTTCAGCATCCCATCCATTTACCTACTCCCTTTCCAGGATGAAGAATTTTGTATGATGGGATGCAATTCTCTTGAGAAGTGCCTATGTCAGGAATACTGGCATATATAGTTGGAAGGCTAAAATGCTTTTTGAGAGTTTCATTTAACTAGGTATATATATCAAATTTTATTATTATTATTATTTTAAAATAGAAACAGGGGCTCGTTCTGCTACCCAGGCTGGAGTGCAGTGGCATGATCATAGCTCACTGCAGCCTTGAACTTCTAGGTCAAGTGACCCTTCCCCATCAGCCTCTGCAATAGCTAGATTATAGGCAAATATCACCAGATCTGGCTAATTTTTATTTTATTTTATTTTATTTTTGGTAAAGACAGGGTCTTCCTATGTTGCCAAGGCTGGCCTTGAACTCCTGGCCTCAAGCAATTCTCCCACCTCCACCTCCCAAAGAGCTGAAATTACAGGCACGAACCACTGTGCCTACTCAAATTTTCTTTAAATGGTTACCAACTCCCACTAATTTGTAGTTAGAGTTGAAGCTATAAATTAGTGGTCCTAACATATTTTTTAAAATAAAATATAGGCAGAAGTTATATCTCTGAAAATTTGTCAATGGCCAACGTACTGAGTTCCAACGTTCCAAGGGTTTTTTAAAGCACTATTTATAGATGATTAAGACATTAATGTATTCACTCCACAAACATTGAAATTCTAGGCACTCAGAATCCAAAGTAAAAAAGACAGTTAACTTTCTAGGTGAGCAGACAGTAAATAAGTATATACGGTAATTTCAGATAGTGACTAGTGTTGTGAAATTAAGAACTAGGCAATAAAATGAGGATGTGGCAAAAGTCTTTCTGAGGAGGTAACATTTGAGGTGCTTAGGTTGAAATTCATTCAAAGTTTCTCTGTACATTGCCTAAACTCCAGAAGTTACTGGGCAACATAGGCTCAAAATATCAGAACTACATAACCTATACATTTCACATAATCTTCTGACTCTGGTACCAAAGGCTGAAAGATTTCTAATAGGGTAAAATAGCTATGTATATTTTCCTCACAAAATGAATGTGAAATGAAATTTTTGTAAACAAAAAATGAAGTCAGTACAATTTTTGAAAAGCAAAAAAGTGTATATCCTATACCAGTTAATTCATGAGTCAATAATTTGGAGAAGTTTTGTTTTGTTTTTACACAAGCAAGTTTCACTAAATGAGTACAATGTGGAAACAGGCTCAAGCCTGTCTATATAGGACCAAAGACACTAAAGACTAATAATTTTCCATGACTGGCACAGAGAAGAGTAGTTCTAGGTTCCCTTGGAAGGAAGTTTCCAAATATAATAACCTTGTGTGCCTTCATCTTGGAAAAAATCACTTCATGGGTAATTATAGATATTAATAGTAAGAGAAAGAACATTACTGCTTGCATAAGAGATACTTTATTTTAGTATTCTTTAATCATGGAATAGCTTCATTTCTGTAGTCTCATTTAGACTTATATTTGAAAGGCACAGAGAAAGTTAAATTTACTTCCTGTCATCATCACATCTCCCCTATGTTGCAGCATAATACTAAAATTACAGAATCAAACAGCACTGCAACGATAGAAGTGTTTAATAAAAGGGGATACAACTATACTTCATTATGCAGATGAAATTTTAAATACTTTCAAGTTCAGTACCAGTGTTTATTATCTGTTTTCCCTTTTACTTGATACTGCCTATTCTCACAGAGAGGCTGAAGTGTCTTACAAACAGACTCTTTAGGAAGTCAACAAGGATGAAATGTGGGAAAGAAAATAATTGTTATCTACTCATTAATGCTATGTTATATAAATGTGGAACTATGAGGTTACAAAGTTTAGACATACATAAACTTACATTCTTGGGAGTAGAATATTCAGTCCTCCCAAAACCCCAACAGCATGTGGGTTTCTGCCCACCTGCTTCAAAGATTACCTTCCTGATAGCATAAAAGACAGAACTCTTCACTACAGCCATTTGCTAGTTACCAGGTAACAGGAAAAGGTGGCAATAAAACTGGAATCTTGCTCCTTTAACCACAATGCTAATAAGTATAACCTCAATTGTGCTAAGTTATCCTGAAACAAACGATAATTTCATTAATAACATCCTGGAACAAAACATTCAAAATCAAGATGATCAAGTAAAACTAACTGAATGACATTTAGATGGATTCGTTACCTCAGTTTTTAAAACCCCTAAACCAACTATTTTATAAAATAAGGAAATGGCAGTAGTTTGAAGCACCAGAAAACATATACATTATTCAACAAACATTTATTGAGTCCCTCCAATGTCTCAGACTCTATTCTAGCCACTGGGGATATGCTGTACAACAGAGTCCAAGAAGTTTAACTCTTAATGGGAAGAGACAAAACAAACAAGATGTTTTCAAGTTGTGGTAGCAGCCAGGAAAGGAAGCAATTGAAGGACACCACATTTAGATAGGGTGGTAAGGGAAGGACTCTCCAAGGATGTGGGATGTGAACTAAGATCTAAAGAATGAAAAAGAACCAGCCATGGGAATAAGTTGGTGAAGAACATTCTGGCAGGGAGAAAAAAATGTACAAAGACCCTAAGGCAGGAATGGGTTTGGCCTGTTTCAATAAGAGAAAGGAAGCCAGAGCAACTAAAGTATACTTTGGAAGGGGGAGGTGATTTGAGATGTGGTTAGAAAGATACAAGGGGTCATATTATATAGTACTTTTAAGTTAGATTAAGTGTAATGGGAGCTATTTGAGAAGTTTAAACCAGGAGAGGGACATGATCCAATTTATGATTTTACTATGGCTGTTCTGTGGAGAAGGGTTTTTAGAAGAGGAAGAATTGAATCAGAGAAACCAAATAGGTGGTTGCCTGTATTTTTATGGAGAATTGATAGTAACTGGAATTATTTTGGATATATAGCTGACAGAATTTCCAATAGTAGTGAAGGAAAGAAAAATAAAAAATGACACCTAGGGCCGGGTGCAATGGCTCATGCCTGTAATCCCAGCACTTTGGGAGGCTGAGGCAGAAGGATTACTTGAACCCAGGAGTTCAAGACCAGTCTAGCCAGGCTCGGTGGCTCAGCCTGTAATCCTGCGCCTTTGGGAGGCTGAGGTGAGTGGATTGCCTGAGCCCACGGGTTCGA